CTTGGACAAGCTGCGTGATGACCCGGACCTACTTCTGCGTTCAGCGGAACAAATTCAGTTCCCTAAGAGCAGCACGGAAATTAAAGTCGTAATCGACCCGGAGCACACGAATTACGTCGACGCGTCGGATACAGCACCTCGGGCGTGTTTGACGGAGCAAGTCTTGTGTCAGTTGGCAAGACACGTAGTAGCTGATCCGTCAGACGACAGGAGCAACCTCCCGGCAACAAAAGTCGTGAGCGACTCTCCGGCGGAAGTGACGGCCCTTTGGAACCGTTACGCTTTGAACACGGTGTTCACCATGGACTTGCTGGGCTTAGGGGAGGAGCCGCAAAGGCTGGGTGCAATGGAGGCGGAATTTCGGGCCGCCTATGAGAAGCTGCATCCTGAACCTGGCAAACATTGGCAAGGCGTTTGCCGACCGCGGCTCGGCCTGAACGGGGATCACGAGGTCTCGGTGGTTCGGGAATTCAAAGATGAGCTTTGCGAAGAGTGTCAACCGCGGGTGCTGCCGAACCTGCGGCCACCGGAGAGGATTTGGAGCCTCATCCGGCCCAGCATCCTTACGAGCGCCAGCATCCTTCCGAGCGCCAGCATCCTTCCGAGCGCCAGCATCCTTCCGCGCACCGGAGCGCCGGGGAGACGTAGTTGGCGCGAGATCATGAGCGAAGCCGAAGAACGCGTGTGTGCGGACGCTCGCGCAAAAGGTGTCGAGACGTTTGAAATTCCGATCGACATCATTTGGAAGCCTTGGAAATGGACGCACATGTCGAAGCCGATTGTGGAGGAAATGCTTCAGTCGCAAAATAGACGTGGCTGCTTCATCCCACTTCATGACTTACTGAAAACCTACCGGCTGACTGCTGCCCAATGTGACAGTCTCGAACGTCAATTCCGCAAACACCTGGCGATTATTGACAAGCACTCTCCCAGGGGCGAGAATTGCTGTGTGGGGTCGTATGCCCAGGTTTGCGTGACTTTGGACAGAGACGTGATGCCTTTCCCTGTCTCTGGGAACAAGTTGCGTGTAGCACTCGCTCCGACGTGCATGAAGGCCTCGTCCAAAGAGGAGGCGCGTGAAATCACTGACGAGTTCGTCAACAGACTGCGTGCGGACGCAGATTATCCAGCAGCTTCCAGGAACAACGTTTTGGCCCTAGCCATGAACCTCTTTCATTAAGAAAATCAATTCGGATTGTTCGCCCTGAAGTTAACTTGGCCTTGTCTCGTCCTCATTGATGACCCATTATCCCGACGCATTTGGCGCACCTAAATTTTTGAACTGACTAACTTAGTCACTAATAACTGACTCAGGTTAAACCTGTAAGTTGTCTGACTGGGATTTGGAGCATCGCATGACCCCTACTCCCTACTGATTATTAGCCTCCAGTTAGAGGTTGGACAAGGTGGGTAGCGAGTGAAGTGATCCCGATCTCGGGCGTGTTTGACAGATCAAGTCTTGTGTCAATTGGCAAGACACAGGAGTTACTTTCCGGCAGAAGTGACGGTGCTATGGGCAAGCTCTGTCAAGACTGTTTGCCACGCCAGCTCCCGGACCTGGATCGCACGCCCAAGTTTACGTCTGTCTGAATAAAGATGCGCTCCTGTCGAAGGGAGCAAATTCGACCTGAGGTTATCTGACTTCATGAAGGGACATGACCGACACACGGTTGGGGAGATAACACAACTTTTTATTCTTCCGAGACGAGCATCATACTCCGTGTTAGGAGAGCTCTTCACCTTGGGGTTCACCTGCTGGTGTGATGTTTGTCTTCAATCTCCCTAGAGATGCAAGTCCTATGCGAGGAGTCATTATTTGATAATCACGCTAACTCCTTCTCCGGGGCTTTCTATCCATTGGGGCATCCCTGGGCACCAAACAGACGAGAAGACAGCTGCCGGTCAATGGGGTGCTAGGACCAGGTGCTGAGACCAGGTGCTAGGATCAGGGGTTGATTTCGAGAACTATTTTCGAGCGGACTAATGTGGAGTTGCAGGGCTTCCAGCGAAGTATCGTCTTCTTTAGCGGTTGCTTTGGGCGTGAGTCTTTT